AGCCAGTAATTCTTTGCCCGACCAGGGAATCGAACCCGACACCCTTTGCCCGGCAGTCGCATGAACACTCGGCCAACGATGCAGTAGGAAAATAAAACAAAAATAATTTCTATATAAACAATTTATACTATTTTTATTTATCGGATAAAAAATAACTAAAAACTACTAGTAGTAAAAAAAAAGAATACAACGCGACTTTTCCTATCAAATCATGAAAATCGTAATTTTATACAAAAAAAATATTTTCCATTTAATTTTTCGAATTTTTTTCACGATTTTTTTTGCATTTTTCGTTTTTTTTTCTCTCTGTGTTTATTGGCAGTTTGGTATTTACAAATTCCTATAATAATCTATACTTTTATAGTAATGGGCCTTACCTTTGCGTGCGATAAACATCGATAAAACATATCGACGATCAGAATATTAGATTACGTCAAAATAAAAATGCGTCGATCGATGCATCGACATATAGTTGTGTACTATATCGATAAAATGTCAAAGCCGTCGATATCGGTTTAAAAATATATAACTATCGACAGTGTATTAGCCAATTTATATTATTACTTTATTTATTGCTTATTATTATAAACAGCGCACACAAAAGTGAAGCATTCATTTTGCATTAATGTCAAAGACTCATGTTTTTGATAAAAAATATTCATTGAGTCTATATTTTTGGGCCAAAACAACTTAAATACTTAATTCTAATGTGGCTTGGGGTCGAAAGCTGCGTTAGATTGAGATAACAACTTGTATAGGCAATTATGTGATGAAATATATGTTATCCTAAGCCCCAACCACGACTAATAAAAATATACATATTTTCAAAGTCACATTAATGAAAAACAAATGTTTGAATGTGATTTTGTTAACTGAGAATTGACTTTTTATCACAAGCGTCATAAAACAAATAAAATCGCTTACAAATACATTTTAACATGAATACACGAATCACAGTCGATAAAAAAAAAACAATTTTTTAAAAGTCAATCCTCAGACCGCCTTGAAGTTGGCAACGCGTTCAAAAAGAATAAATGTGAAGTTAGTCGCAATTGCCAACTTCAAGATAAAAATAGAGAAAGGGTTTTCCATTTGTGTTAGTTAAAATTTTTGTGATTAAAAATCAATGTCAATTTTTTTTAATTAATTACTTTTGACATTATACGAGAAGGTATATGACAGAAATTAGGGTCAAGTTTTGAAAATTATTAATAAACCCCCCACCTTTTGAATCGACCCCCTACTTTTAACATCTCTTTTTAAATCGACCCCTTAATCCCTCTCATAGATTTTAATAAATTAATAAAATTTATGGCGAAATCCTTTCTCTTTTTTATGATTAATAGTAATTATAATTAATAGTTTAATAATAATAATTATAAATGTATAATATACTCCATGAATTTTTTATGGATTCTAAAACATATGACATCCATATATTTAAATTCAATGGATTATAGAAATGTAGAGCCCTCTGAATGATAAAAAGCAGGAAATGTTTCCTTTTTAAAATTAATAACTAATTTAATATGAAAGATAAACCATTTAGTTATTTTACTTAATATATTTACAATAAATGATTAAAAGATAAATGACAATTACGTTACAGGTGATCATTACTTTCTTTTAACAAAGTAAAGATAAATATTATAATAATTATTTTCACAATTATTGCGTACAAGTGCTTGATTTTTTTTTATTTTTACTCTGAATTTTTTTACTAAAAATTGCCGTTTTCAATACCATCAATTGATTTTTTTTAATGTCATTATTTTAGGGGTCGATCCCTAAATATTTAAAGGGTGATTTTATGAGCATATGTTACCCTAAATTGGGGGTGCAATTTTTAAGTGATTTAAGCCCCCCGAGGGATTTATACCCCAAGTACTAAGCGTACATCAAGTGCATTTAATTAATAAATACTTACATACATACAGATACATTTATTAAATCAAATTTTTTATACATTTTATAATCAAACTGTACTTTTTTCAAAACTTTATACACACGAATAACGTTGCTATTACAAAACTTTAAAAGCTATATTCATGTACACGGAGCTGTGGGCAAAAATTGTGAATCTTTTAGTTCGAAAAAATGGTAATTTTGACTTGAAACTGAAGTTTTTAATAATATTTCGTGCTAGTAAGTTTATTAAGAACCTTGTATTCTCCGAAGGGGTAGACAGGGGTCCACATACGCAATGTAACACTCAATTTTCACTATTTATAAGTCCCATGTAATAGAGGGCGAGTCTACAATATCAATTAGAGCATTTAAAAAAAGTACAATTTAATCATAACGATCATACAATATGTAATCAAATAAAATTATATTGTATGAGTTTATTATTATTAATGAATACAAGAATATTTCTCACATTTTTATCATACACACGTAAAAAATAACTTTTAAGCGCTTTTTTTAATTAATCATTAATTTTGTTGCAATATTTCATAGATTATATACAAAAAAGACTAAAAATATACAGAAGAGACTGTCCCGCGGTGTCTGTATAGCTGCAAGATACCAGTTTTTTTTAAGGGGGGAAATCATCGAATGACTGCTCCCGCCTAGGTGAGGCGGGAGGGAGTGTCAGACTCTTATTGACTAAAAACCACCCCGTTCCTTCTCCTGCACGTCGAGCCGGAGCCCCGGTTACCCGTTAGGTTCTCCGCGACAAGAGTATAGAACCTTATTTGCATGGACTACGTGTCATATAGGTTTATCGGGTGTTTATTACCGTGGAATCTATTTCGTTATTGTCCCGCGGTAAAGCAATTTGCCATAAGAACTACTTTCAATGTATGAAGTGAAAACAAAAAAATTAAGATGTAATTTTTATTAGTTTAAAAAAAATCATGTAAATACGCACATGAAACACTAGACGTAAATTCGTAGGCGCTATTCACATCGCACGTGTCACCCGACGAGAAATACGTCTTCGAGAATGACATGGCGTGATGTTTTTATAATGTACTATGAGTTCGTATGCGCTTTCGAAGTTTGCTTTTTGCAATGGTTCACCAGTTATTTTTTGTTTTAAACATTTTATTTGTTTGTAAAACTATTGTATTACCGAGACAGAACCATTTTACTTCGGGACGAAAACGGAATAGATTTCACGTTGTATAAAGGCGAAACGGGCGCATAAGATACGCAATCTTTAAAAAATCAGAACTATGGTAGATGACTATGGTATCCCAGTCATATTACAGATTGTATTAGTACTTTTAGAGATGAATATTATTGTTATAAAAGCGTTTAATTATGTGGCTTACTCACGTAACTATTTGACGAGGAACTCGACTAGTTTCAAGCCATGTTAAAGACTCATATTCATGAGCAGCATTCCGCGACCCGCGACGCGACAGATGTCCCACGAAACTTTTATAATAAATATGGTTTGTTAGATTTTAAGCCTAAACTACTGGACCAATTTTGATGAGTATTAGATTAGAATTTGGAGGTGGTAGTTATAAGCATTTTCGACGATATAAAATCTATAACATTGGGAGTATAATGTTCTTATGAATTCAATTTAATTACTGAACATGATGTTTGGAAAACTAATGGTACAGGATTCCAACCCGCAACCTCCGTCTTGATTGGGTTTCGAATCCTGTTTATACTTAACTAAAAGAATGTTGAATAATTGAATTTTTAATACGAGTAAATCAGCGGGGGAAAGCAAGTTTTTAGAACTTAATTCTTGTCGCATCGCTAGAGGCGTTCATGTGAAGCAAAGATGTCTAAACTGATGAACTAATCAAGTCAATCGAATTTGCCACTCATTGCATAGCAGCCGGTCGGTCAACCAATGCACCAACTGTGCAAATTTTTCGATTTTATAAGATTTGATAACCTTGCAACACATTAACGCCATCTATTGAGAATAATTAATGAAAGAATCCATCTCCCAATATTGATTTTTGTCGATTTTTATCAGAAACTAAAATATAAATTAGCTCTTGTATTTCTTTAGACGATTTTGTATATAAATGTATTAAAATACCTACTGAATATACTTATTAAAATATGATTTTGCATATTACTCGCTGATATTTAAATTATTTAGGTACTTTTAATTCTGACTCAAAATCGGAGAAATTTAATGAATAATTTACGCTAACCAATAAATTGATTTGTTAAGCATAGTTTCACAGTTAAGTGTCTGATAATTCTATCTGCTTGATAGTCAACTACCTAGGTATATCACCTAGGCGATGGAACTATAAGTTTTTTAACAAGTGTCTAACTGTATGTCAAGTATTTCATAAGTAATGATGTAGTTAGGCTAAAATGCTCCAATTCTATAGATTTTGACTCAAAAATAGTGCATATGCAATGTAACATATACTTTTAATCCTTTATGTTATGAGTCCCATGTAATAGGGGCACTTGGCATTATTATAGGCTCTGAATATTGAAAATTTTCGATACATATTTTAGATTTTTATATTTTCGAAGCATTCTTATGATGAAAAACTGATGGAAAATAACCTTGCCATGTAACTTGTGTAAAATAGTATTCTTTGTGTATGAGAAAATATTTTTGTGTATATTTTTATTCTGCCTTATCAAAATTAGTCTGTCAAGTAGTCGATTTATAACATATTTTTTTACTTTAAAATGTATATAAAATAGGAACATTTCAGCATACCCACATGAAAACAAAAACAACAAAAAAACAATGAAAAACAAGCATTTTAAACAATAATCATGTTATAATTGATATATTTACATACAACCGGCGACATTCTGATTTTATATATAAGTCAAATTAAAAAAACTGAAGTTTAACACTTCTTTCATATAGTACCTAAGTCTTGACATTTTTTATTACTGAAAAATGTCTATAAACGACTGTATTTTAATGAAAATATAGTCTTTAAGCATCGTCTGTCAAAATCCCAATTTTCGACCAATGTTTACAAATTATTGGTCGAATATCCACAACATTTTTTTCGACCAAACATTGGGTCGAATCAGGTCGAATATCAACACAGGTGCTTGAGTAACTGTTCAGTGACCTCAGATTTTGATATATCCGCAAATTCCGCCGTCTTACCTCTTTGTAGGATTTCTATAGTGCTTCTCGAATCTAGTTGCTTCATATGATACAGTAATTTGTTGCCAGATATAGGCTGCAGAGGTCTAGCCACGTTTAAAGTTGTGTTTTTGAGCGCTCTGGCTAATGTTTTGAGGAATTTCGACCACTGGCGCTCATTAGAGGTCGCTTCGGGCGTGTTTACTAGTATCGCTGCTTTCTCCATTAGTGCGCAGACGCAGCTTAGGGTGAACTGTAAGGGAAATTGTTTTTGTTCGTTTATTTGTTCATATGACTGACGAAGAGGACATTTTATAACTTAAATATTGTAGGGAGGTCACGTAAGATTTACAGTTCGACCTTAGAGTTAGACAAAGTACAAATGAGTATACAGTCAAAACCGCTTACAACGACATCGTTTATAACGACGAATCGGGTACAACGACGAAATTTTGAGGTCCAGTCTATTGTCTTATAAAGCATAAAGATATTGGTTATAGCGACTATTGGTTATAACGATCATAATTCGATTCGATCGGTCCCTTCGATGTCGTTATAGACGGTTTTGACTGTATATATTTTAAGTTACATTTTCTATATTCTGAGTAATAGTAATGACGTATCATTGATCGAATTAGTAAGTACGACTGCAGAGCTAGGTGTCGCAGAATCAAAGTCCGAGACTAAAGTATTTTAATTTCACGAATTTCGAAATTCACAGTGATCAATGCCGGATAAAGACCCTCTTCTTACACAGAGAAGGAATGGCATTCATCACCACAGCCCAGGTTTCTTCATGATGCCTTTAGCATATGCCAGTGGTTTGACTGAACGGTTGGCGCGGTAGCTGCCGCGCAACGTGTGCGGGAATCGAACCCGCGACACGTTGCGCGTTGCGGAGAAACTCTGTGTGATCTACAGACTGTAGTTCCGTGTCTGTGTGTGATGTGTATGTGAACTTGTATGTTTGTAAACGCACACACGACACAGGAGGAAATCCTAGTGTAATCCTCTTATTAACGTTGCCCACGTTAAGAAAAGAGAAAAGAAGAGAGTGGTTTTGAAATAAATTTTGAAAGCTCATGTAACTTGGTACATAGGTCTCAAATCACCACCTGCACGCTTAAGAAACGGATAACTTAATCACCACAACGAAATACTGTCAGAAAGTCTACTTACAGGTGTAGTCAACGCGTAAGGTGTCCTGGCAGGATCGAAGGCCTCCGCCAGCAAGCTGCAGGACTCCAGGATGGGGGACCAGCCAGTTGTCGTTTGTATATAACTGGGGAGTAAATATTATATTATTAAAGTATGTATTTTTACTTCAGATTGCTTCATTGGCAGAGTAGTCGTAAGTGCGACTGCCAGGTCTCGGGTTCGATTTCCGGGGAGTGCAAAGTATTATTATCTCAGTCGTAGTCTAAAATTGTGCCCAGTATATGGTAATAGGCTTACATGCATATATTACATGGGACTCATAACATAAAAGTGAAAAGTGGGTGTTATATTGTACAGTGGCATTAAGTGCCGTAATGTGCACCTCTGCCTACAACCTCAGGGATAAAAGGCGTGTGAAATAGATCTAAAAACGTATTTAATAATTAAAATTTTGATTACTTATTGAAATGAAGTAAGTTACCTATTTAATTATTAAATTGAACAGTTACAACAATTCAAAACCAATTTTAGTAATCAAAAACCAAGTAAGCAAACAGCTAGTCAATCTGATATTTAGAAAATAGCTCATGAACTTAGTAAGTTTAGGTGTGAGCGCGTCATGGCTCGACACAGCAGTCCCGGCTGCACCGCAGTGCGCCGCCCGCGCCGGACTGCCAGCACTCACAGCGGGCAGCCGGGCGGCGGGGGGGACACTGTTACTACCACCCCCCATTTCCTAATCTCTGAATCCTCAACAATTTTGTACGTGCCAACTAGTCAAATTCAATATTTTTTTCTAACTACAAAACGACAGTATACTATGAATTTTTGAATTTTTAGCGTCAAACAGCATACTTATTTCTTAAACATTTGCTGGACATTTGCATTTATTTCTTAAATATTTTTGTGTGTACCTAATATATTTGTATGTCTATCACGGCAAAATATAGTGGACTATCTTTATATGTAAAACCTTATTATGTAAACTACCAATGTTTAACAATGTTTAACAAATAAATGATTCTGATTCTGATTCCGGAAAAATACTAAAATTAAATTAGTCATAAAATCAATCAATGTAAGTGTGATTATATTTTAATAAGCACTTGAAATATTTTACTTTTTATTAAAGAAAATACCCAATCCGCAAATTCCTAATCCCCAAAAGACCGGTAACGCACTTGTAACGCCCCAGTGCCTTTAGCCAAACGCCACTTTAGCGCTTGTCTACAGAGAGAGTAGAAAACTAAATGTATGGGGATGACACTGACAAGTGTCAAAATTTACGTCAATTCCATATAATTTAGTTTTCTATTCTACATGTAGACAAACGCTAAATGGGATTTGGTTACAGCTGCTGGTGTTCCCGGTGTCAATAGGCGACGCCGATTGCTTACCATCAGGTGATCCGTCAGCTCGTTTACCGGCTTATCCTATAAAAAATAGTACCGATACGTACTTCCGATAATGCGTAGCTAATGGCGCCAAGTTATTAGGATCCCTCCTGGCGGCGGCCGGCAGACCTCGCAGCAACTTGCACCATAGAGACCTCAGGCGCACGTGGGACGCGGGGACACGGGCCACGAAGCGAGATATTAATGTCTGTAACACAAAAAAAGAAATATTGCTATACATAACAATAATAAATGAATGAATGAAATGAATGAATGAATGAACTATTGCTCATGATGAGAACCTCGTGAAAGCTGAAAAAGATAAACAAATCAAATATCTTGATTTGGCTCACGAGGTTGTCGACATGTGGAATGTAGATTCGGCTATCATTGTGCCGATAGTCGTGTCGGCCAATGAGTTAATCCCTAATAGCCTCGACAACCACCTTAGGAGGCTAGCATTAGGCAGTTGGGTCAAGGGCCTGGTACAGAAGGCAGTTCTCCTTGAAACGGCGCGCATTGTGAGGAGGTTTCTGTCTCTGGAGCCCTAACCACCGGGCTTGGACCATGCTCCCGCTACTGGTCGGCTCCTATTTTTATATTTTTAAATATTATCTTTCATACTGTAGTATTTAAAAATGTAACTTTAGAGAAATTTTAAATAAATATAAGGAAATAATAGTGATGATAAATAGTAGAAAATAATACCAGTCTCCACCTTAAATCTTCCCATGGGTGTATGATACTTGACTATACGTTTGGCAGACCTGGGTGCACGCTTACTCTTAAAACAAATCCCAATGTCAATGCAATAAAGTCTCAATAATTATTCAATGTCAAATCTATACAACTGCTACCGTAGCTGTTAAAATAGCATTCAGAGTACGGAATATAAAGCCAAACTCAATACCATTTAGTTCATTCAATATTCACGCAATACGGATGCAATGGGCGCTAGTGTTGCGACTCGAAAGTACGAAATTTCACAATACCAATGTCGATCGATCGGAATTGGATTCAAGAGTGAGCCTGGCCGCAGCGTCATGACAAACTTAATTACTTTATTGTGTAATTTTCTGCCCTGACTGCCTCGTTTGCCGAGTGGTCGACTGCCGGGCAAGGGGTCTCAGGTTGGATTCCCAAGTCGGGGTATAGTATTACTGGGATTTAAAAAAGAAACCAATAGTAGCACGGAGTCTGGAATCGCGCCCGGTATATGGCAATAGACTCAGCCCCTATAACATGGGACTCATGACATAAATAGTGAAAAGTGGGTGTTACATTGTACAGGGGCATTAAGTGCCGTAGATAATGTGCACCTCTGCCTACCTCTTCTGGGATAAAAGGCGTGATGTTCTGAATAATGGCTATATTATCCTTACTAATATTATAAATCGGAAAGTGAGTTTGTTTGTTTGTTTAATTGTTCCGCTTTCACGCCGTAACTACTAAACCGATTGCTTTGAATTTTTGCAGACGTAAAGTTAGAAGTCCGGATTAAATAATAGGGTACTTTTTATCCCGGAAAAATTTGAGATTCCCGAGGAAAAACAAAGTATTGGTATACATGGCGCTGTGTGTATTTGTATATGTCACACTTATTATCCTTTTGTAACGCGAGCGAAGCCGCGGGTAAAAGCTAGTAATTATAATATAATTAATTAATATTAATATTATGCTCACCCGTCCCTTCCTAACAGTGAGCATCTGCTGCACCCTGTCGCTGTGCAGTAGTCCGGCGAACATCTTGTTGACGAGGTCGTCCTTGTCCTCGTCCAGCAAGTTCTTCGAGGGCGCCGGCTTCTGGTTCACTGCTAGGTTTACCACCTGCGGACAAAATAAAAATTCATAAATTATTTAATTAAATTAATTTTAAAGTAGCTAAGTAATCGTGATGGCCCGGAGTTTAAGACGCCCGCTTCTCATGCGTAAGGGTGCGGGTCCGAAACCTACCAACGGCAAGTACCAATGTGGCTTTTTCCGAGTTATATGTACGTTCTAAGATTATCTAGACACTACTGACAAACGGTGAAGGAAAACATGGTGAGGAAACCTGGGCTTATAATTTCTAATTATAAGTTTGAAATAGCCAACCGGCATTGAGAAAGCGTGGTGATTAATGCTCAAACCTTCTCCGTGTGAGAGTGGAGGCTTTGGTCAGCAGTAGGCATTTATAGGCTGTTTATGTATGATGTATGTATGTATGTACAACTACAATAGCAGTTCACGTAAATCAAAAGTTTTTCTCTAAATAATTTCTTATTAGATAACATGTCATAAATTTTTGTATGACAATGTCTGGAGCTCAAGCGTCGTTAGTTTGTTATGAGTTGAAAGAGACCACAGATTTCACGATTAATAGTTTATTATGTAAGTTACACTCGTTACGTGGGATGCTAATCGTGGGTACAGTTATAATCAACTGAACAGTAAGGCCTCTGCCTGGAATTTTGCAGGCAGTGGAGGGGGCGGCGGCAGCGGCGCGGGCGCGGCAGGATCTTATGCGTAAAATCAAATGGACTGGTTTTCAAAAACACGGCGGCGTTGCGGCGGGCAACGAGCGGGGCAATACAGTGCACCGCGAGTGCAGCGAGTGCTGCTCAAGCAGTGCCGACCGGGCCGCCGCCGCCGCCGCCCCGCTGCCCGCAAAATTCGAGGCAGAGGCCTTAAAAAAAAGCGTATTCTTATTTAAAAGGCCGGCAACGCACCTGTGACTCCTCTGGTGTTGCGGGTGTCCATAGGCAGCGCTGATCGCTTACCATCAGCTGATCTGTATGCTCGTTTGCCTTTTGCCTCCTCACTACATAGTATAAAACATAGTCGCTATCCGCCGTCTGTCTGTCCCTATGTATGCTTAGATCTTTAAAACTACGCAACGGATATTGATGTTTTTTTTTAATAGGTAGAGTGATTCTTAACTCGTCGAGTACCGGTTTTATAGACACAATTAAAGAACAATAGGTCGTGGTCACCGGTGACCGCTTGGTGTTTGACAGTTTAAGGAAGGTTTATGTGTATAATGCATATCGTAGCCGTGCCTAGTATATTAATTAAATCGACCCGCGAAAGTTGGTCGCGCGACGTTAGCAAAATAAATGCCTGTACGTATACCGTAAAGACAATTGAGTACTTGTCTTAATCAAAAAATTATTTCGACTGTTCAATACAATAAAATATTTAAAAAATATATATATATATATATTAAAAACTAATCACACTTTCATTAATTGATTTGATGACCAACTTAATTTTAGTATTTTTCCAGCAATTTTTTAAGAATTAAGTATGCTGTTTGACGCTAAAAAACGTGTCACAATCTCGTACAAAATTCATAGAAAATGTAGTTTTTGACAGTTCGAAAAAAGTATTGAATTTGACCTAGTTGGCCCAGTTGGCAAGTACCTAATTAATATTCCGATTAATATTCCATTGTGTTACCTGTCGTTTATCAATACTCTCGCTCTTGGGACTGTCCTGCTTAGGCCTGCGCTGAACAGACTCTATGTTCTTGAGGAACAGGTTGGCTACCTCTTGCTGTTCGCTCTCCTCCTTCTGCGCTGCTTCTAGTTGCTTCTGTTTTTCTTCCCTTTCCTAGAAACGAGAAAGAAGAATTAAATTTAATTAAGTTTCAGGGTCGACTATTTAATAATTTTATAAATTTATGGTGGATTAAGCGCTAAACCCGTTGAAATTCATACCCTTAATTTATTCATACAAAAGTAGTCTCTAAGCATTGGAAACAAGGTCTACAATGTAGGTAGCGGAGAGCGGTCACAGATGACCGCTTGAGGATCTATGGGTTTTTTTTATTTTTTTTAAGGGGGGAAAATCATCGAATGACTGCTCCCGCCTGGGTGAGGCGGAAGGGAGTGTCAGACTCTTACTGACTAAAAACCACCCCGTTCCTTCTCCTGCACGTCGAGCCGGAGCCCCGGTTACCCGTTAGGTTCTCCGCGACTCCGAATCGGCATCGGCCCTATTGGGCCCCATCTGTGGTGGTCTGATGGCTCTTTGAGGCGCGCGCGGAACGCTCGGCGCCGTACGCTCGGGTCTGTTTCTGGTCGGACGGGGAGCCACCCATGCTCGCCGTCCGCAGGCCCGCGCTTACGGTGGCCGGAGATCGTCCCGCGATCCCCGACGCCCGGTGTGTCCACCGCGATGGCTGGGTGCAGAGGAGGCAGCGCTTCGCTGCCTCGCGCGTCCCGATTCCTCCTTAGCTAGCATGACTGCTTCGCAAAAGGAGGAGACGGCATCCCAGTCCCCCTCGCTCCGCATCATGGCCTGCACTAGGCCCGGACGCGAGAGGTCGCCATCGCCGATCACTTCCCTGAGGGCACGGCGGTGCTCAGCCCACGCAGGGCATTCCGCAACAGTGTGTTCCACCGTGTCCTCAGGGTGGTCCTCGCAGTGATGACACCCGGGCGTTTCCTCCCGCCCCATCAGACACAGGTACCTCCCGAAACTTCCATGTCCGGTGAGGACCTGCGTCAGGCGGTAGGTGAGGACGCCGTAGCGTCTCTCAAGCCACTCCTCAAAGAGGGGACTTACCGCTGCAATGGCAGCGAGCCCAGGGATCTATGGGTTAAGGTGCCTCGATGTGAAACAGCAACTATTTTAGACCTTATACTAACTACATTAAAGTACAATTCAGTTATATTACCTTCAATATAAGCGCGTTGGATATCGCTAGAGGGTCGTTGAGCTCCTCCAGCCGTAATAATATTAAGTAAAGCGCCTCTATGTCAAGTAACAACTGTTTCGTCCTCTTCATTTCTCTGGGAACCTGAAATATTTATTATAGTTGTTATTGTTATACATGTTGCAGTTACATTTAACATCCGTTAGATGGGGTTAGGGTGTCATAACACCAGACTATGAAAATAAAAATTAAGGGCCTAACTGGAAATATGGTCAAACTTTTTATGATTATTTTCTTCTGTGTTGTGGGTACGTTTACAAACATACCAGTTCACATACACATGACACCCAGACCCGGAACAACAATCTGTGGATCACACAAAGAGTTGTTCCGTGCGGGAGTCGAACCCGCGACACGTTACGCGGCAGCTAGTTGCCCAGCCACCGCGTCAACCGTGCATTCACTGGAAATAAGGCCAAACTTACTTAGTCCAGAGCCCAAAACTACACAGAGCCACACTCAAAACCAGACAGGATCCTAATAGAATACAGGGCCGGACTCAATTCATGGTCTTTTTTTTAGGGGGGGAAAATCATCGAATGACTGCTCCCGCCTGGGCAAGGCGGGAGGGAGTGTCAGACTCTTACTGACTAAAAACCACCCCGTACCTACTACTGCACTTCGAGCCGGAGCCCCGGCAATCCGTTAACCCTTTGAGTACCGTCATTATAGACACAATTAAAGACCAATAGGTTGCGGTCACCGGTGTCCTCGCGGTGTTTGACAGTTTAAGACATCCGCCGCGTCATATCGGCATCAGCCCTATTGGGCACCCATCGCATGCCCACGCACGCACGGGTCAAATTACGGCCTAGGACCGTATTTAGAACACAGCTCTGACTCTCCCCAAGTTACTACTAACTTTGTATAAGTCACAAGCAAAACAAGCAAAATAAATTAATTATTATGTTTCTCGACTTACTCACGTAACTGTCCGACGAAGAACTCGACTAGTTTCAAGCCATGCTAGAGGCTCATATTCATTGGAAGCATTCCGCAGCTTTCAGTAGCAGCGCGACAGTCGCCGCGTCGCGAGTCGCGAAATGCTGCTCATGAATATGAGCCTCTAGCATGGCTTGAAACTAGTCGAGTTCCTCGTCAAATAGTTACGTGAGAAAACCAAAAACATAATACTTAACATTCGTTCATACAAAAGTAGTATCTAAACATCGGAAATAAGGTCTTCAAAGAAGCAAGTGGAGAGTGGTCACTGGTGACCGATTGGGTGAGTCCTTACCTCAGTGGGATGCGTGGTACTGGCGACGCTAGAAGCTCTCGACATACGTGATGGGGCCGCGTCCGCTCCTACTACTTCCACATCGATAATCTTACGTGGCGCCGTTACACTGCCACACTGGAACGGAAGAATATGGAATTAAATATGTTTATTTATTTATTTATGCACAACACAGAGACAGTACACAGGAGAACACATATATAAATAAATTGGAGGTACATAGGTACTACATATTCCCGTGGGAATCTCTTCCTGCAGTCCTTCGACAGGAAAAACAGTAAAAACTAAGACACTGTGCGTAATGGCATGAACAAAGAAAAAAAAACAAAAACTACATAAACATATCTATATATATATAATTCAAAGGTGATTGACTGACTGACTGACTGACTGACATAGTGATCTATCAACGCACAGCTCAAACCGCTGGATAGATTGGGCTAAAATTTGGAATACAGATAGATGTTATGACGTAGGCATCCGCTAAGAAAGGATTTTGATAATTTCCACCCCCAAGGGCGTAAAAAAGGGGATAAAAGTTTGTATGAAACTTTGTCAGTTTTAAACTGATCGGGTTTAAATTTGGCATGCAGATAGATGTTATGACGTAAGCATCCGCTGTGAAAGGATTTTGATAATTTCCACCCCCAAGGGGGTAAAATAAGGGATGAAAGTTTGTATGAGACTTTGTCAATTTTAAACCGATCGGGTTGAAATTTGGCATGCTGATAGATGTTATGACGTAGGCATCCGCTGTGAAAGGATTTTGATAATTTCCACCCCCAAGAGGGTAAAATAGGGGATGAAAGTTTGTATGGGACTTTGTCAGTTTTAAACCGATCGGGTTAAAATTTGGCATGCAGATAGATGTTATGACGTAGTAATCCGCTGTGAAAGGATTTTGATAATTTCCACCCCCAAGGGGGTAAAATAGGGGATGAAAGTTTGTATGAGACTTTGTCAGTTTTAAATCGATCAGATTGAAATTTGACATGCAGATAGATGTTATCATATAAGCATCCGCTAAGAAAGGATTTTGATAAATTCCACCCCTAAGGGGATAAAATAGGGAGTGAGTTTGTATAAATCTTCATAGCCATTGAATTTAGAATCATTGAATCTTTTTGAATTACATTCGGTAAAACGATGATTTGGGACCTGGGTAACGTTTGATAGTTTTTATCACAGATGTCCCACGGGAACGGGAACTATGCGTCAATGCCCCGGGACTGTCTAACTCTTAATCACTGAACTTATTTTAGAAAGATTCGGTACAACAATAGTCGATAGAATAGTTTTTATTACTCAAACCTTACGTGATCGGGCACTGTACTGGTAAGATCCCTGCGGGATTATTTATTTATTGAAACTACGATAAATCATTTCAAAATAGGTAAATCTTACTTGGGCACTGAATTGATTCTGTCAGAAGTCATTAATCTACGCGGACGAAGTCGCGGGCAACAGCTAGTGTTATTATAAACAAAAAATTATGTTATTATTTTACACAGATTTAAGTGTGGGAGAACCATGCTTCAGCGCGAATGGGCCGGCTCGACCGGAGTGATACTACGGCCGAGCAGAAAACTGACGTGAAACAACGATATGAAACAACGATGGGTTGTTTCACGTCGTGTGAGTTATGTCACCGGAGGGCCAATCACCCAATCTTCCTAATCACCGGATCCCCAATAATAATCAAATTCCTAATCCCCAAAAGGCCGGTAACGCACTTGTAACACCTCTGGTGTTTGGGTGTCATGGGCGGCGCCGTTGCTTACCATCAGGTGATCTGTCTGTTCGTTTCATGAATAGTTGGATTGAGAAGAAATACATTGGTGATTTGTAAGAGAAGGTGTTTCCTTTCATGTGTAAATGTCAGTGTCAAGCTGACAAATATAATTAATCTCCTGAACTAAACGCATGTTTGGTTCGGGAGATTTATTTATTGTACAAATAATTTTTGTTATTTTAATTTTGAATTGTATATATATATTTTTTTTACTATTTTTCTATTATTATTATTAAATGTAATATTTTATTAGTAACGGGCAAGTGCTGAAAATCAGCGCCGTGACTCGAGCACACTCGTGTCACGGCATTTAAGCTGAGCCTTTTTGCGCCGTCTTACTGTATTGTTTCTTATTTTATTTCCTTGTGTCAGTGTGCAAATAAAAAAAATTTTCTTTCTTTCTTTCTTCTTTCATGTTACCTGCAGCTTCCCAAGCGAGTTCTCGAACTGCGTGGGCACGTATGTCCGCGGCGTGGCGGTGTCCTCGCTGGTGGAGTTGTGGCGGTTCGAGTTGTGACGCTCGCGGTGCGTGTGGGTCTCTTGCTTTACACCTACAAAAGTTTAAATAATCTATATATCTTATATCTTTATATATATAATTCTTCTGTAAGTGTGTATGTTACTGAACTTCTCTCAAACGACTGGACCGATTTTGATGAAATTTTTTGTGTGTGTTCAATGGAATCTGGGAATAGTTTAGATTCACCAATCAGCCCGGCAGATGGCGCTGCAGTCAGTATCCAGGTAATTTATCTACACCTATTATTATATTATATGCAGGACAACGTCTGTCGGGTCCGCTAGTAATATATAAACATGAATCCCTTTTTCCCTTGGTCACGGCATCATGCGTGAATGGCTGGACCGATTTCACTAATTCGTTTTTTTTGTTATTATTAGGTTCTTAAGACAGAAAAAATCCTGATAATCCTACGGAAACAGGAGAAAACGGGATTGCGCGTACAAAGTCACGGGCAGAAGCGAGTTATTCATATTTATTTTTAACCTATTTATTTTTTGAGAGGGCGGGTTCGAAACCTACCAACAGCAAGTACCAATGTAACTTTTTCCGAGTTATATGTACTTTCTAAGATCATTTAGACACCACTGACAAATTGTGAAGGAAAACATCGTGAGGAAACCTGGGCTTATAATTTCTAATTATAAGCTTGTAATCGCCAACCCGCATTGAGCAAGCGTGGTGATTAATACTCAAATCTTCTCCGTGTGAGAAGACACTTTGCTCAGCAGTGGGCATTTATAAGCTGTTGATAATGATGATGAACATAACATCACGCCTTTTACCCCCAACAAGGCAGAGGTGCATATTATGTCACTGTATAATGTAACACCCACTTTTCACTATTTATGTTACGAGTCCCATGTAATAGGAGGTGAGCCTATATGTAATGTTACTGTTTGTTTTTACTTAATAAATAAATTAAAAATAATGAAGATATCCTTACCTCCGCTATAGAATGGATGATTCTGCTGGTTCGCCTTGTGAGCCTCCTTTACGCCTTCCTTTTCTTTACTCGCTTGTCTCTCTAAGAACACCTGTAATAAGAAAAATAATATAAATATTGACCATTTTATTGTGTAAGAGGAAATTTCTTTAAGCCAAGGATACATTAGGGGACAAATGTCTGACTGCATGGTTGCAATGTTTTGACTGCACGGTTGACGCGGCGGCTGGGTATCTGGCTGCCGTGCACGTGTCGCGGGTCCGATTCCCGCATGGAACAACTCTTTGTATGATCCACAAATTGTTGTTTCGGGTCTGGGTGTCATGTGTATGTGAACTTGTATGTTTGTAAACGCACCGTACAGGAGAAAATACTAATGTGGGGTAAAGTATTTAAAAAAAAACAATGCCCTGCGACACCTGTCACCAGCGACGTTGCGTGAAGTAGCCGTCGACTTTGATCGACATGTCTGTCAACATCAACTTCGTTGTGGACAAAGTCGCGCGTTGTCACCGTATGTGTTAAGTGACATTTTCGCTTCGCTCGATATTTTTTTATACCACGACGGTGTCAAGAAAAGCACACGGCCCACCTGATGGTAAGCGGTTACTGTGGCCCATGTACGCCTGCAACACATGCGCCTTGCTGACCCTCAATAAACCTATTTACTCCTTTCTTGAAGAACCCCATTTTGTAGCCCATCGGAAAAACCTTGGCATTACCTCTGAAACCGAACTGTACGGGACCATTTAGGCTCCAATATGTGAAGGTGAACGGGAGGAGTCGATACACGTCTTTGGAGATTTGTCCCCTAGTGTATGAGACGTACAGAATTAAATAAAAATTATGGTTTATTGGCGTAAATTTACTGAGAACGATCTACAATTTTGACGCTTTCTCTGAAATTTTGACCTTGATTTTGACTCGTAACTTCATTTTTCATTTTGAATTTCATCTTTATCTAGGTCGTGTTTTGACTTTGATGTTCATTTTTTACTTTGATTTTGACCTTGACTTTGACTTACCGTGTAATAGAAGTCGTGTATATAAGGAGTGCCGGTGTTAAGCTGCAGCATCTGTATATTGATCAGCCATTGTTTCTCCCGCGCAGTCATCAAACCCGCGTACTCGTCAGTGTCACTACCACTAGCGTCGTCTCCGTTTACCGCGTGTCTGAAATATAACATACATATTAAAGTACTGAAAAGAGATGGGCAGAAGTGCACATAGGTATTTTGACAACTCACAAATCAACCGCCTAAGCTCAATGTTATACGCTCAAAAGGACCTCTTAGAGTCGATATAGAATAGCACCAACCCGGGCTTAGAATTGCATATTTGATGTAGGATTCCAGTCATTGAAGATTATTTTACGAATCCCTCCCAATAACATTGAATCTAGGATCACTGTGTTTACAAAATCAAAATTTAGAACTTTATCATGAATAAGTGTGGGAGAGCCATGCTTCGGCACGAATGGTCCGGCTTAACCGGAGTGAGGAGTCAAACAGTTACGTGAGTAAGCCGAAAACATAATATATAACCAAAATGTACTTAACAATGACGGTCGTGACAGTCGACAGTGTTAACAAATGCCCGTATTCTTGTCAAAAGCATAGCTCCGTAGTCGGGTATACGACACTCGCGGGACGAGTAGGGGTCGCACCAAAATGCATTCTACTCCATTTACAATTATAAAACTTAAAGAAAAAACTGTCTGCCTCGTTGGCCGAGTGGTCGCAAGTGCAACTGCCGAGCAAGGGGTCTCGGGTTCGATTCCCGGGTCGGGCCAAATATTACTGGGTTTAAAAAAAAATCTCAGTAGTAGCACGGAGTCTGGAATTGTGCCCGGTATATGGCATAGACTCACCCCCTATTACATGGGACTCATAACATAAATAGTAAAAAGTGGGTGTTACATTGTACACTGACATAATGTGCACCTCTGCCTACCCCTTTGGGGATAAAAAGCATGATGTTATAATGTTAAAGAAAAACTCACCTATTATTATAAACGCCATTGACCCTATGGTTGAACATTGGGTGATTAAATTGGCTGTTCGTAAAAACACTATTTCTATTATTCAACATAGGATGATGATTCGCATTATGATAACTATTGTTGAATTGCAACATCGGATGCGTATTTTGAATCAACTGAACCAAATTCTGCGAAGTCAAATTTTGATTTTGACTTTGACTTTGACCTTGGTTCTTAGAGTTGTTATAAACTCGACTTTTTTGAACTTTCTGCTCTTTCTGGGCCGGTTTCTGTATGGTTTTCGGTTGTGGTTGCGTGGTTACGTGGTTGAGTTGGTTCATTTGACTCATTTGGTTGCTGTTTGAGGTTTTAATATTGTTTAGTGGTTGTTGTTGGTTTTTTATTAGCATTTGTTGGTTCATCATCATGTTTTGTTGGGCTAGTGGTGGCTCTGGTTTTGTTGGTAATGAGGGCTGAAACAAATACATTTGATAAATCAAACCATTGCAACGGGCTTAGATTATAAGAAGACCTTTGTGATATAAAGATAAATAAATAAAAAAATACTATAAGCACTTTTATATGTTAATGTTTTATCTAACAAATATTTTCTTAAATTATAAAGATGGTTGCTTATTGTACATGAAACTTACAAGTTTTAAAAACTAACACAAGTGGGAATCGAACCCGCAGCCTAGAACTCAAGGACAAGGGTAAGCCACGTCACACTTCTCAGAAAATATGCTCGACACGGAAAACGAAGCCACAGTTCTTTCAAAAATATTTTTCATACTTATAGACATTTTAAAATACTTACGCGAAAATTAAGATTAACTTGTGGAATATTGGAATTAAAGTTTTGTCTTTGCAGGTTGATACCAGGAGGCGGCGCCATCATCCTTGGCTGACCCATCATATGTTGAAACTGGTTCATCCCAAACTGGTTACCATTTGGCATAATCTGGTTATGACTCTGATTCATCTGATTATTCGAAAAATGGTTGCCCATTTGATTCATATTCTGTGACATTGATGACATATCACCCATACGGTTTTGACTCATCTGGTTTTGTCCCATCTGATTCTGACCCAGTTGGTTCTGACTCTGACCCATTTGGTTTTGACTCATCTGAGATTGTCCCATCTGGTTTTGACTCATTTGGTTAACATTCTGACCCATCTGACTCATTTGGTTGACATTCTGACCCATTTGACTCATTTGGTTCATGTTTTGACTCATCTGATTCATATTCTGACCCAACTGTCCCATACTTTGTGTCATACTTAAATTCTGACTCATTTGGTTGACATTTTGACCCATCATCTGATTATTGCTTATTTGGTGAACACTTAAGTTCTGTGATAACTGACTCATAAGGTTATTTCCGGGACCGATGGGGTTATTTTGGAATTGGTTGTTCATTTGATTACTCATTTGGTTATTCATGAAAGGAGAAACGCCTTGATTGAGTTGATTGACATGGTTTTGTATGAGTTGGTTATTTTGTCCCATTTGGTTCATAAGTTTGCTGAGTGGTTGGTTCATGCCGTGGGACATTGGTTGTTGTGGTGCGAATGGTAATGGTACGGGCGCCTGCAAACCAGGCGGCCTTTGTAGTATCACCGGTGGAAATCTTGGCTGGAATATGAAAAAAAAGTTATTAAATATTTATTTATTGTGGATTATATTGATATATCAGATAGAGTTTAAATTAAATTGTGTCTTTTTTATTTGCTAAAATATTTATTTATTTAAAAAGGATCTCCAACAGAGAATACATGTAACATACACAATGATAAAGCAAAAAAAACAGATATCTTGTGCTTCTCCAATCATAGGAGATCCTGTCATGCAAACAAAATAAATCCTATTTGTTAATATAAAAATCTTATGTATTACATACTTAAGTATTTACATGATAATAAGTTCATTGACTTTAGTTTAAGCCGAGTATTTTTATACCTCAAATAGTTATTTTAAAATCAATAACTATGCTGTGTAACGCAAGAAAATATGTCGTTATAACATGCAATCTTATATTATTCTTAGACAACTATAGTTTTTTCGTTTTTTTTTTTCGTTATGTTTTCGAAAGAATATTTGTACGGGACAAGCGACAACCAAGCAGAATAGCCAATAGGTGTGGGAGAGCCATGCTTCGGCACGAATGGACCGGCTTGACCGGAGTGATACCACGGCCGACCAGAAAACCGACGTGAAGCAACGCTTGCGTTGTATTTCGTCGTGTGAGTAAGGTTACCGGAGGCCCAATTACACCCCCCCCCCTCCTTCCAGTCTTCCCTATCCCCAAATTCCCCACAATCTTCAAATTCCCAATTCCCAAATGCCTATACACAGGTGTCCACGACGCCGACGCCGATAGCTTACCATCAGGTGATCAGACAGCTCGTTTACCGGCTTTACCCATAAAAAAATAGGTCATTACCTATCAGCTATCAGTGCTAAACCCTAGGCACCTGCAAAAACACAATGCAAGCGTTGTTTCACGCCAATTTTCTGTGAATTGGTAATATAACTCTGGTCGACCTAGCCCAGAAGTGCTGAAGCATGGCTCTTCTACGTAAAAAACTGCCTATGTTCAGCAGTGATTGTCTTATGATGATGATGATGAGAGGGAGAAGGTTTATATATATTATTTGGTTTGCACACTAACCTGGAAGTAGTTCTGGTTGAAAGAAGGCTGCGCCTGCTTCTGTCGCAGCTGACGCTCCAACTCCTCCACTGTGCATACATTCTTAAGTCCTTGTACAGGCTGCGAATAAAAGAATACAAAATAAATAAATTGTGTAAAACTAACTGTTATCGGCTAATGATATATTTAAATTATGTTCGCATAGTGAAACTTTACAAACATAACATCACGGCTTTTATTCCCGAAGGGGTAGGCTGAGGTGCACATTATACCACTGTACTATGTAACACCCACTTTTCACGATTTATGTTATGAGTCCCATGTAATAGGGGGTGAACCTATTGCCATATACCGGGCACAATTCCAGACTACGTGCTACTACTGAGAATTTTTAAAAACCCAGTAATACTTTGCCCGACCTGGGAAGTGAACCCGAGACCCCTTGCCTGGCAGTCGCACTTCCAACCATTTGGCCAACGAGGCAGTGAAACTTTACACTAATCAAAAAACAAAGAAAATATTTTTATGATCGGGATGGATAATTTTTTTATTTATATTCGATAATTTTTTTATTTATATTTATTTATAAACTTGGGGTAATTGGGTCTGTGAGGCCGTGGTATGACTCCGGTCGAGCCGGCCCATTCGTGGCGAAGGTTGACTCTCCCATGTTTACCTTAATTTCCGGACAAAGATAAAAAATGAAAGGAAATTATGAGTTTTATAATATGATGTTACTCACTGTGGGCGCGCTCGGGAAGATAGGGTCATGTTTCCATACACTGGAGCCGATAGTCCTTGACTGCGGCGCGTCCGTCTCGTCCAGCACTAGCTGGGATAGCGATGCCTCTGTAATGGTTAACATTATACAATTAACAAATCAGTTTTGCGATCAGCGCCGCCCATGGGCACCCGCAACACTAGAGAAGTTAGTCGCGGAGAACCTAACGGGTAACCGGGACTCCGGCTCGACGTGCAGGAGAAGGAACGGGGTGGTTTTTAGTCAGTAAGAGTCTGACACTCCCTCCCGCCTCACCCAGGCGGGAGCAGTCATTCGATGATTTTCCCCGCTTAAAAAACAAAAACACTAGAGAAGTTACAAGTACGTGCTTTTGGGCGAGGCGAGACAAAGAATTAGTCCTGCTGTAACAACACAGGCAAGCTGTTGAGTGAGGTAACCGCACGACTAGTTCGCAGACAAAGACAACAACACAACGCAAGTATTGCTTCACGTCGGTTTTCTGTGAGGCCGTGGTATAGGGATTCGGCACTCCGGTCGGTACCAAAACGCAGCTGTAATTTTTATTCATAATATATCTATTCTAAACGATAGTCGTGTTAGTTACACTATTTATAAAGATAAAGATATTTTTTATTTGCGTTAACATGAGTAATATTTATTACGAGAGTACATGCAATGGTGTTAAGTTAGGAGTATGAGCTACATGTTATGCCGTTTTGGCGTACAAATATTTAAAATCATAATTGAATATTAAGGTGGGTAGTGAAAAAAAATATATACATGCAAACCTAAATAAGCAAAAAAGACATAGAAGTCGATATTATAACTCAAGAACGGCTAAATCGATTTGGATGAAAATTGGTGGGGAGGTAGCTTAGAACCAGGAGACGGACATAGGATAGGAAGGATACTTTTTTAACTTTTTACCGAAAATCACGAACCCGAAAAAACGGGATTGCACGTACAAAGTCGCGGGCAGAAGCTAGTTTAGAATATAAGCTAATGCTACCAACTCACCGAGCTGTGTGTTGGCGAGGTCGTCGATGCCGCCATGATGTCTGCGGCTGCTCTCCAGCTGTTCCGCCAGCTGTTCATGTTCCACCTCCCAGTCGAACTCGTCAGCTGAAATACGAATACTAACGTTAAAACACAATACACTTGATAGCTCATGATTATAGGGCCCCGTATGACACGAAATTAGTCGAGTTACTCGATTAGTTTCATGACGAGAAGTTACGTGAGTAAAAAATACATATTTAATTTTATCCTCATGATCGATAGCTTTAATGCAAAAATGTATATGCCTTTTTGACGGGGGAAAATTATCGAATGCCGCCCCGTATGACACGAAATTAGTCGAGTTACTCGATTAGTTTCATGACGAGAAGTTACGTGAGTAAAAAATACATATTTAATTTTATCCTCATGATCGATAGCTTTAATGCAAAAATGTATATGCCTTTTTGACGGGGGAAAATTATCGAATGCCTCCTTCCAAGGTGAGGTGGGTGAGGCAGGGCGAGAGGGAGTGTCAGACTCTTACTGCCTAATACCACTCCATTCTAAATCCTGTTTCGAACCGGAGTCACTGTAACTTTTTGCGCTTTTCCGCAGCCACAAGAGAGATATTTTTAAGCCTGAAGAGTGATATGGGCTATGTTTTTTTCTTTTACATCACATAGGTGAAGCCGTAGGTAATGGCTAGTGGTCATAAAAATTAAAATACATACACATCACACCACGTTAGCACAAACATTATTAATCACCATAAGCATAAGCAGTATTGGTGACGAAACACCAAAATTGTTATTCATTGGTTAAGTTTCAAATAAGCACATTGTTATGTTAGAAAATTGTTCCCATCACCTTGCTTATACATTTAGTATAATCTAAACAAATATTATAACGCTGAACATTAATTAGTGTGTTAATTAATTCATTCAGTGCATTTAATAGCGTAGGGATTGTTGTGTATCTGTGGTATAGTCTATGGTCATAGTATAGTCTATGGTGATAGTTTATCTATGTGCGTGGCTAAGCCCGCGAATTTGTAAAAAACTTAAGATTAAGTAAAATAGTGTGTCAATGTCAATAGCCTTCACTGGTTGTACTTGTATTTCGTTCCCGTAAAACATAATTAAGTATTTGTATGGTGAATAAATATAAATCTCCAAAACTATATGTAGGTTCAAGTTGAATAATAATTTAAGTGTTGGAAAATCGATTTATCTAGTCTAAGTTTTAAGACTAAGCGCTGTACATACATAGTCATATTTTTCCTTTTTAACATTTTTTTTTTATAAATTATATAGTTATTGCTGATGTTACATAAAAGTATTATATGTAGCATAAAGCTACGGGCTATTTTATATAGCATATAGATACGGGCTAGTGCTGAAAATCAGCGCTGCGACTCGTACTACAGCGCTCGGGTCACAGTTTTTTAGCTGAGCTCTGGCCTTTTTGCACCGTTTTCACTATTTTTTTAACTAGATTCTCGTGTTATTGTATTTTGTGACGGTGCAAATATACTATTTTTCTTTCTTTCTTCTTTCATTTAATAGTTACTTAACCCAGTTCTTAGCATTATTGTTTTTGGAACAAAATCATTACTATGGAATAGTTTAAGACAGGATTTCCCAAACTATGGAACGACCCATTGGTGGGTAAGCAGTAGTACCTATGACACTAACCAAGCATTCTGTATTTTACTTATCATATTGGTAACGATTTCATCTAAAGTTGGGTCCTAAGTTTGTGAACTCGATTTAGGTACTCTGCAGCTGTAGCCAATTGCCATTTAGCGCTTGTCTACATGTAGAATAGAAAACCAAATTATATGGAATTGAAGTAAATTTGAACACTTGTCAGTGTCATCTCCATACATTTAGTTTTTTACTCTCTCGGTAGACAAGCGCTAAAGTAGCGTTCGGCTAAAGGCACTGACTTGGGTAAGTATGTTGATTGCGCGGTTGGTGCGGGGGTTAGACAATCGGCTGCCGCGCAACGTGTAGCGGTTTCTATTCCCGCACGGAGCAACTCTTTGTGTGATCCACAATGTTTCGGGTCTGGGTGTCATGTGTATGTGAAATTGTATGTTTGTAAACGCACCCACGACACAGGAGAAAACCATAGTGTAGGGCAACTTTAAAAAACACAATGTAGGTCGTAGTCCAGACAACTTATGGAACCACTAGTTTAAACTGTCAAACACCGCGAAGACACCGGTGACCGCAACCTATTGTTCTTTAAACTGTCAAACACCAAGCGGTCACCGGTGACCGCGACCTATTGTTCTTTAATTGTGTCTATAAATAGGGTACTCGACGAGTTAATTGTGTCTATAATGATGGTACTCAAAGGGTTAAGTAATGATTAAACGTCTCCAAATACAGCAATAAGGTCAGTTAAGAAGCACAGTGAAGCGTCCGGCACCCATGCTTAATACAATACTTACAACCTTGACCGAAGGTCTCGTCATTAAGCGCGTCATATTCGTCTTCTGAGGGCTCCCCACCTCCTTCATCATCATTTAAGTTCTGGAACAGATAGAAAAATAGATTAAGAAATGCATTTATTCACTGTGAGGCACTTTCCAAACAAAGAAATAAATAGTTCAATCCTTACTAATATTATAAATCGGAAAGTGAGTTTGTTTCTTTGTTCCGACTTCACGCCGTAACTACTAAACCGATTGCATTGAATTTTTGCAGACGTAAAGTTAGTAGTCTGGATTAAATAATAGGGTACTTTTTATCCCAAAAAAATTTGATATTCCCGAGGGAAAACAAAAGTATTGGTATAGAAGGCGCTGTATGTATTGGTATATGTCACATAGGCTACTTTTTATCCTTTTGTGACGCGAGCGAAGCCGCGGGTAAAAGCTAGTATCAGATAAAGTTTAAGACAAAAGTATGAAACATAAACTGACTGACTGCACAGTTCGAGCGGTGGTTGGACGACTGACTGCCGCGCAACGTGTCGCGGGTTCGATTCCCGCACAGAACAACACTTTGTGTGATCCACAGATTGTTGTTCCGGGTCTGGGTGTCATGTGTATGTGAACTTGTATGTTTGTAAACGCACCCACGACACAGGAGAAATCCTAGAGTAGGGCAACGTTTAAAAATAAAAAAAAGCTTTTACTGCTGAAGGGATAGGCACAGTGGTGCACACAATGGCAAAGTGTTGCACATCATTCATATTATTTTTTTCTTACTGAAAAGAAGTTACCTAAGCCTATGTATAGTCAGTCAAGTTAGAGACCATGGAGGTAAAAAAATAAAGATGCGTTTTTACAGAGACAGTACCTAACCATTTGTTGTCTACTGAGCCAAACCAATGGTTGTAAAACATTCCGTATCGTTATGAAACAAACAATTTTGTACCAATAGCTACTATCTCTATACTGAACCAATTTTTATTTCGTTGCCTGCCTACTAAACTTGACTATCTGCACGTAGGCGACACCAAAAGAATCGCTGACGTATTTCCGACACAACAAAAAGCTTGTTGTTTTTTTAACAACATCCCTATGTCAGCCCTTCTTTTTTTGCTCTTAGGCAGGTAGGTACATACATACAAAGATTATTGGTAGTCATTGTGTGTTCTTGTAATAATAACTATGGGGAGGTGTCGAGCCCATAGATCCGATCTTAGGTTCAAAAATATTATTTAAACTTAGTGTAAAAACTAAAGTTCCAAAATCTTATGGTAGAATGTCCCACCCATACGCACAAAGCGCTTTGCATCAAGCTTCCTTGTGCGTACTGCTAAGGAGTGGAATTATTTGCCAGAGTCTGGGTTTCCTGAAGGGTGTCTTCAAGGCCCGAGTGAATAAGTTCTTTATGGGTCGATGTGCTCCATCGTAGACCGCATCATCGCTTACCACCAGGCGAGATAGTGGTCAAACGTCGGCCCATTACATATATAAAAAAAAAACGAATTTTGGGGCTGTTTTCTGCTCGTATACCTATTGTGAAGTGGTCGTAAAGCTGCGACTGCCAACCAAAAGGTAACCCAAAGAGACAAAGGGTCAGATAAAACAAACGCAATTCGCGCTTCATTTAAAATTGAACTTTTTTTATAGATGGAAAACAATCAAATGATTCCTTGCGCCCAAGGCGAGGCATGAGGGAGTGTCAGACTCTTACTGACTAAATTCCACATGCTCCAAGCCGGAGCCGCGGTATATAGCGACCTTAATCACGACACAATTCACAACAAAAGTGTCACTCTTAAAACAGTTCTGCCTACCCCCATCTCAGAACAAAGTCAATAACGTTGCTCTGTTAACACAAGAAGAAGTAAATGAGGCCAGTGCTCGCAATCACAACAGCTATCTTGAATAATAATACAACGACCTAGATGTTACTAAAACTGCATTTATACCGACTGTTTTTACGTACATACATACAAACGTTACATACATACAATGAAGGCAATCGGATCGCCCACTGTTACATTGGACTTATTTTTAAGGGGCTAAAATCATCGAATGACTTCTTGAGAGGCGGGAGGGAGTGTCAGACTCTTACTGACTAAAAACCATTCCTACTTCTGCACTTCGAGCCGGAGCCCCGGTAACCCGTTAGGTTCTCCGTGATGCCCAGCATACATAGGACTTATTTTTAAGAGGCTAAAATTATCAAATGACTTCTCCCGCCTGGGTGAGGTGGGAGTCAGAATCAGGCTCTTACTGACTAAAAACCACCCCGTTCCTACTCCTGCACTTCGAGCCGGAGCCCCGGTAACAAGTTAAGTCCTCCGCTGCATTACAAAAGACTTGTAACAATATTTTTATGGAATAGATTGAGAAACAAGCAGACAAATCACCTGATTGTAAGCAATCCTCACCATCACCAATCATGGACAAGTACACCCGCAATATCTGAGGAGTTACTTGTACCTCTATACCCAAACTATGGAGGCAGGGAAGGGATTATGCCTCTGGTAACTTCACTCACGACAAACAGATACTACTGAGTGCTTACTATGATCCTTACTTCTTTAGCTTTCATCTCATTCACGCCGTTACATGAGAGTGCTGGTTCGAAACCTATTAATGTGACTTTTTCCGAGTTAAATGTAATTTTTAAGATTATCTAGACACCACTAACAAACGAAAAAGGAAAACATCGTGAGGAAACCTGGACATAAAATTTCTAATCGCCAACCCGCATTGAGCAAGTGTGGCGATTAATGCTCAAACCTTCTCAGTGTGAGAAGAGGCTTTGCTCAGCAGTGGGCATTTATAGGCTGTTGATGATGATAACTTCTCCGCCGATTGACCCCGCATTTTCACACAATTATGTTTTATTACAAGACAGGTTTTAGAGTCGAGCTGACCGTCAGCGCTGACAGCCGAAACGAATGAACTTCTAGAAAGCGTTTTAAAATAACGAGTGCGTCGGTCAGCGCTGACGGATAAATCTACGGCTTGATCGCCATCTGTCAAACTACGACACAAACTAAGCTATGAGCGCTGACGGTCAGCGTGAGACTAAAATCAGCCTTTGTTGCATATTTTAATGGATTAACATATCATTTATAACAAATTCCATTACAAGACTAAAGCAAACATTAATAAAAGACCTTTATATTACTTTATTGTACTGAGTGTAACACAGTTATAGAATAGGGGAAGCCCCACCGTTATCTCTAACATTATTATCATTAAAGGGCATTTAAAACAGTGAAATTATTGTTGAGTATGCAGTTGTGAAACGGCCTATACATACACTAGGGATGGCAAAATAACAAAATCAAAGTCTAAATGTTACAGAAACTGCAAAAAAACCAACATTAATGTTATTAAAACCCAAGATTTAAGATGAAATTAGTTGAATCATATTAATTTCTGAGAATCAATGATTCAGATATAACTTGGTTTTTCAGGCGACAATCTAACAAAACTAATGACTGACACTTTGAATTAACTGATCAATCCACAAGCGGTCAACGGTGACCATACTCCACTAACTTCAATATAGACCTTATTTCCGATGTTAAGAGACTAGTTTAGTGAAAAAATTTTGGGGATTTGTATCAGGTCATTGCGTACAATTAAAAATGGCTGTTATAGTTAGAACACATACTAAGAACTTTGTTATTTAACTTGAGGCAATGAACAGAATAATTTTGAATGCAAAAAGATATTATATAGAACTTTTTAAACAAATCTAAACAATATTGCTAGTCAAAAAGACGTAAGGCCCTAAAATTTTAATGTGAGGCATCTTTTATACATATAAAAAAATTGTAAGTGAATCAAAACTGTACATTGAATATATTTTATTAAAAAGAATAGCTTGCCTATAATCAATTGAAGCCAAAAATAGTATTTAGAATTTTGTCTGTTTGTCTGTATGTATGTTCGGGCTAAACTCAAAAAGTACTACATGGATTTGCTTCAAATTTTGCATGAATATTACTAACGGTCGGGTGACATATAGGCTATATATTATTACACTATCTACGGGGAGAAGAGCTGTGAAGAACTATCTAAAGTCACTATTCCATGTGAATGAAGTCGAGGTACAGCTACAAAAAAAGATAAAGCCAAAGTATCTCATTTTAATTACACCACATACAAGCACTTTTGAAATATCAAAAATAGAGTACTTTTTTGAAATAAAACAAAACCTTTTAATACCTCAAGTTTGTAAGTTTTAGATTCATGGTCAAAGTCAAAATCATTTATTTTAATTAGACCAGGAAGGCACCTTTGAATGTCAACAAAATAAAATAAAAGTGAAGTTATTGCTCATTCGAAGGTGTAGATTCCTATGGAGAAGAACGAGCAAGAAACTCCATAGGTTACTCTTTTTCAATCAGATTAACAATACAATTTTTTAGTTACATAGTTTTGTTGTCCTAGTCCAACTTACTGACAAAGCATTTAATACATTTTTATATCAATACCTTTAGGTAGAAAGGTCGTTGAAACCAAAATCTGACATCAGGAAACCAGAATAGCAATTTTCAGGAGAGCATATCTTCTATGAATCAATTAAGTTAAAAACAACTTTATTAAAAGTGAAACAGACCCTTTACATTCAATATTATTCATTAAGAGTTCTGAATGGAAACTCATAACCCAAATAACATCATTAGGAGCCATCAAAACTTCATGAATTACTGAACATGATAACAGTAACCTAATAAAATAACAATTAACACAATAATTACTTTATCTAACGATTGTATACAAAGTAGACATGTTTTATCTCTAGTTACACATGTATGTGCCTACTAAGTATCCTTCAAGTACATGTATATATGTATGTAGATAGACTAGTGTTACATATGGTAATTATAAAATCATACGAGTGAATGACCTGCACTTCAACCCATAAGTGGAACTGGAAATGAGTTTGGAAAGTTCTAAATGCAAATACAAGCACAAAATGCAACACACATAAAGTATATGTTACCACGAAAACAAGAGTGACTAAGTGTGATCACTAAAAATACACAGCTAAAAAACAACATATTTCATAACGTTGTACCACGTTTTATGCACAATTTTTGGCGCGCATTCTGTGGACACTTGAGCTAAGGCGTAGTTTATGGCTATATTCTAGCCTATTACGTGTTTTTCTCGAAATTCTCCGCCGAAACAAACAAGTGACAAGTAGAAATGCGAAAATACATAAATGTAATATGTATAGTCAACACTGTGACGCTTATTGTGTTTATTATGGTAAAAGAAGCAATTCAAGCGATCTTAGTTGCCCCGAATAGGCATATAAGACTTAAATACAAGGTAGAAAGTGGTAATACTTGATTGTATAGTGAAATGCTGCGTTTTGAGTGGCGTGCTGGCAGAAGCTAGCCTCGCAGTTTTAGGGTTATCGTATATCAAATAACTTGGTTTTTTCAGTAGAATAACGTTTAGACTTACCGATAACGAAGTATCGAACCCGAAGAAAGAATCTGCCATTGGAATTTTTCATATATCATGGACACAAATGACATGACTTGTCACGGTACATATGTCGCAATGGCGAAGGCGGCCATGACATTTTGGCCAGTGTTGTACTCAAAACTTACTAAATAGTAGTGACGCAACAATTAGTAACATTTTCAAAACATTATTTTTGTCTCGTATATTACATTTCTTATTCTGGAAAATGTAATTTCCATTATTTATTTAAAATATTCATTTGTAAACTTTTATCATATGAGCGCTCCATAACAGCTGTGTCCCAGTCCAGGTATGAAAATCTTACCATTATCATTCTATGTGTCCTTGCAACACAGTGCAACAGAGAGAGAGATATATATGCAACTCTGCCAAAAATATTAAATACAAAGATAACATTATTATTGAGAATAATTTAATTTTACCTTTACTGAAGAAATAGTTAAAATAAAAAATTAATAATTTTGTGAAACGTTCCAAAACGTAATTTTTTCGACTGTAATTCCGAATGACGACAAAAGTTGTGTTTTGTCACTTACTGTCAAGTGCGTGTCATTCAAATTAATTTCAAATTATTTATTGTTGTTGTTAGTCGTATCTTCATAAAAATTCCCGTTTGGCTTAAAAAAACTTTAATTTAAAATTGCGAGTTATGTGTTAAGTAGTTCAACAACAAAAAAAGTGTAAAATATATTTTTAATTTTGGGCCTAAAGATTCGCCCGGGAAACAAAATGTCTAAAGGTAAGTAAATCAGATAAAATGTACTTTGGAATGATTATCGTAAATTATTATAAAAGTTGTCATGCGCTCGATAAGTGGTTTTATGGTTAGGATTTACTTTTATTCTGTGCCTTAGCCTGTATAAATATAATATCAGGACCAGTTATTATTAAAAAAAAAAACATCATCATGATAATGAAAAAAATTCATTGTTATTTCAATACTTAATTAAATATATTTTTTTTGTAATAAAAACCCACTTATCGGCTTCTACATCATCGTTTTGCTAATTTATGATTGTCTTGAGTCTCGTTTAGTTTTGGTTTTAAAATAACTTTATGAAAAGGCTTATTAAAAAGAAATCCTTTTCAATAGCATATAGTCTACCTCTGTTCCAAATTTCATCCCATTCTTTCAGCCGTTTTGATAGCAGAAATAGTTGTTTACAAACTCATTGGGTGTTTAACTGGTCAAACTCAAACTCTTTATTTGCATGTTAAGGTAATACATACAGGTCTTTTGAAATAACAGGCGGTCACTGTTGACAGCTCTCTACTCACTGCATTTTTTTTTTGTTTCTGGCGTGCATGACTTATCCTGAATAAACACATTTCATTTATTTTATGAATATAAAGCCAAACTCAATACCATGTATTTAAATCAATATCCACGCTATATGGATGCAGTGGGGGCTAGTGTTGCAACTCAAGTGTACAAAAATTGCCATGGACAACTTAACGAGTTACCGGGGCTCCGGCTCGAAGTGCAGGAGTAGGAACTGGGTGGTTTTAGTCAGTCTGACAAGAGTCTGACACTCCCTTCCACCTTACCCAGCCAGGGGAAGTCATTCAATGACTTTCCCCCCTTAAAAAAAGTGTACAAAAATTCAGAATATTAATGGTGATTGATTGGAATTGTATTCAAGAGCAAGCCCCCTGTTCGTATAACACTCAGAAGAATAATATCAGTTGTGACAAACATAATATTCTGCTCTGCCACATCCGATTAACTTTAATTACCTATTCATTTTTATAACCCCTCGAGCGTCCTGATCCATCCCAATGGATCATAAGAAAAAAATCTCCAAATGTCACGTGTGCACCCATTGGATCATAAAGAACGCGGACGCTCGATGGTTTAATATTATATTTCTTACAGTCTGATTTACTTTACATATAAAATTACCTGCAATACCTACTAACAAAAATATTATATCTTGCTTCCACTCGAGAATCTTTCTGCCCAGCGGCCGTCGGTTCTCCGCGCTATGTGCCAGGCCCACACCCACTTCAGCTTGCTAATCCGCTGGCTATGCCAGCGACTTTTCTCTTCTTTTCTCGAAAATTGATGGTACTTGCCAAGGGCGCCTTAAAATCATAATCCGCCACTGAGCAAGCCCATCTTATGTATAGGAAGCTCATAATTCAACACTGAATAGTCAGAGGCTGTTGCTAATAAAAACGTTAATAAACAAAACTTAATAGACAAAGGCATAACACACGACAAATTTAAGTGTAGGAGAGCCACGCTTTGGTTCGAACGGGCCGGCTCGAGCAGTAATACCACGGCCTCACAGACAACCGACGTGAAACAACGCTTGCGTTGTGTGAGTGAGGTTAACGGAGGCCCAATTCCACTTCCCCAATCTTCCCAATCCACGAATCTCCAACAATCCTCAAATTCCTAAACCCCAAAAGGCCGGTAACGCACTTGTAACGCCTCTGGTGTTCCAGGTGTCCATGGGCGACGCCGATTGCTTACCATCAGGTGCTCCGTACGCTCGTTACCGGCTTATCCCCAAAAAACACAAATCACATTAAACTTGTTGACGCAAATAGCATCTAAACTTTACACACATAATAAATAGTACCTACTTAAACTTAACCTTGACGGATACTTGGTATCATGAATTGGGCAATAAATGTAAAATCTAAGATGATTACGCCGTCAAGAATCAAGCGGATGAAGCAATGCTTCGGCACGAATGGCTGATTCGACCGAACAGATACCACATAGAAAACCACCGTGAAAGAACGCTTTGGTTATGCCGTGCCACAACCGTGTGAGTGAAATTATCGGAGGTGTTTTGTAATAACCGAAAGAGGAGGAAGAAGGCCGGCAGCGCACCTGTAATTCTCTGGTGTTGCGAGTGTCCATGGGCGCCGTTGATCACTTATGATCAGGTGATCCGTCTGCTCGTTTGCCTTCTATTCCATAAAAAAAGGAAGAACACTGAGGTAACCGGAAATCTGGAGTTCTCAACTTATTTCCCGGGGCTTCGACTCGATGTAGGACTAGGAACAGGGTGGTTTTTAGTCAGTAAGAGTGTAACACTCCTCACCTCAAAGCGGTAGAAGTCATTGGATGATTTTCAAGAAAAAAGTGTAACCGAGAATTCCTTCACGGGACAGGGGGCATTTGGTAGTAAAAGATCAGCGCCACTCATGGACAACACCCGAAGACTTACTAGTGCTTTACCGGCTTTTTGGCGGAGTTTCCGGTACCCTCACACACTTGGTGAAACACAACACAAACGTTGTTTTACGTCGGTATCTTTTGTGGTTAACCGGTCCAACCGATTCATTCTTGCTGACTACCGAAGCATTGCTCTCTTGTCTGCTGTCAATAAACATCAAAATTGTCATAAATCCTACTTTATAGGTAAGCGATTTTAAAAATAAATCTTCTATGAAAAGTTTGTTTTAATGCGCTAATCACGGGAACTATTGGTCTGATTTGAAAAATTCTCTTTATGTTGGATAGTCCATTTATCGAGGCTATGAAACATCACGCTACTACCAACAGGTGCCGAGCAGAACAGGTAAAACGGCGCAGACGTAACTAGTGATTAATATTCGTCCAATGTCAATTGAGGTCTTAATAGTCATAATTTATGTGCATGTTAAAATAATTATATAGGTATTACCTACTATAGTCGCAAGCGGAACTATCGATTGCGAAATACTCGGATAGGAGCAAGTATTTTTGTAATGGTTTAGGAGGGAAACTATTACACCTGGTTCACCTGATGATAAGTGGTCACCCGCATCATAAGAAGAGTGCGTTACTAACTTTTTAAAAGAACGCTCTATAGAACCAAAAAGATATTTCTCTTATATACCTTGTATATACTTATCCTCCCTATCTTCATAAACCGATTACCATTGAGGTGCATGTTATGGAGGGCTGACCCCTTAGCGCCTAAGCCGCCCTGAATCTAGGTGAAGTAACGCTATTATCCGTTGTGTTGTCGCGGAGAACCTAACGGGTAACCGGGGCTCCGGCTCGACGTGCAGGAGAAGGAACGGGGTGGTTTTTAGTCAGTAAGAGTCTGACACTCCCTCCCGCTTCACCCAGGCGGGCGCAGTCATTCGATGATTTTCCCCCCTTAAAAAAAAATATCCGTTGTGTTTGTGGTGCTTGTATGCTAAGAGCTAAAGAGTTCAGTACCGCTCCAGGAAATGCTGGTATTCAACTATAGCTGTTAACCAGACAACAGCAGTTATAAGCATAATTTCGGGTTTATTTTATTAAACTGTCAAATACCAAGCGGTCACCGGTGGCCGCGACCTATTGTTCTTTAATTGTGTCTATAAAACCGGTACTCGACGAGTTAAATAACAATATTGTTTTATTTTCAGATGATATGTTCGCTCAAGTCCAAGTTTCTCAAGGAATATTGAAGGGAAAAGTATCTGAAACTGTGTTTGGAAAGAAATATTATAGTTTTGAAGGCATACCCTATGCGAAGCCGCCTGTAGGAGACCTGAGATTTAGAGTAAGTACCTATCGTCTATTATTTACATAACATAACATCATGCCTTTTATCTCCGAAGGGGTAGGCAGAGGTGTACATTATGCCACTGTACAATGTAACACCCACTTTTCACTATGTATGTTATGAGTCCCATGTAATAGGGGGTGACCCTATTGCCATTTACCGGGCACAATTCCAGATTCCGTGCTACTACTGAGATTTTTTGAAAAACCCCAGTAATACTTTGCCCTACCCGGGAATCGAACCCGAGACCCCTTGCCCGGCAGTCGCCCTTGCTACTACCCGGGCAACGAGGCAGTCTATCTTTATCGTCTATTATTTTTGTATCATTAATATGCATAAAGATTTAAAATGCTATTTAAAATATGTTTTTACACTGGGATTTACACACCTGAGTCGTGGGTTTTTTTATGGCATAAGCCGGTAAACGAGCAAACGGGTCACCTGATGGTAAGCAATCGGTGTCGCCCATGAACACCTGTAACGCCAGAAGCGTTACAAGTGCATTATCGACCTTTTGGGGATTAGGAGTTTGAGGGTTGTTGTGGATTCAGGGATTTTCGATTCAGATAGAGATTGAGGAAGGGGGGGGGGATTAATTGGGCCTCCGGTAACCTCACTTACACGACGAAACAACGCAAGCGTTGCTTCACGTCGGTTTCCTGTCGAGCCGGCCCATTCGTGCCGAAGTATGGCCCACCCACACTTTATGTTACGGGTGTATTTACAAACACAATATCACATACACTTAACAACTACCAGATCCAGATCAATAATTTGTAGATCATACAAAAAATTGTTCATTCCACCGCATGCGTTTTCATTCTCGCCCTCTGTCTCGCTCTATACTAACAGTTCTAAGTGCAGTACCTACATATGGTTTGTTTATAATCTATTTTAATATACTTATTTTCTCATTTCTAGGACCCACAGGAACCAGAAAGCTGGAAAGGTATCCGCGATGCCACCAAACCAGGTAACAAGTGTTGCCAGCTCAACCCGTACACACAAACCACAATAGAAGGCTCCGAGGACTGTCTCTACTTAAATGTCTACACACCGAGCTTGCCAGGAGAAGAAATAGAAAACCTACCAGTCCTATTTTTCGTACACGGAGGCCGATTTATCTTTGGCTACGGAGACTATTACAAACCTGATTATTTTCTGGAACATGACGTAGTTTTAGTGACTATAAACTACAGATTAAATATACTAGGATTTTTGTGTCTTCATATACCTGAGGTCCCAGGAAATGCTGGCTTGAAGGACACAGTTTTTGCCTTAAGATGGGTCAGAGACAACATCGAGCATTTTAACGGTGATTTTAACAACGTCACCGTTTTTGGTGAAAGCGCTGGGGCGGGCGCTGTGGCGTCTTATATGACTTCGAGAATGGCAATTGGGCTATATCATAAAGTCATAGCGCAGTCAGGAAACTCGATAGCTGATGTTTACATGATTGATGATGATCCCATTGAGAAGGCAAAACGTATAGCGCAGAATTTGGACCAACAGTTTGATGATGAAAAGAGTTTGTACGAATTTTTGGTACAAGTGCCGATTCAAGATCTTATAGTAGCCTTCAGTATTGCTGAAATAGGCCGACCACCGTCCGTTATTAATGCGTACTTACTACCAGTGGTAGAACAACCGTTCCCGGGCGTCGAAAGATTTTTTGATGAGTTCCCAAGAATCGATTTTCCCTTACAACATTTCGATAAAGTCCCTGTAATGACTGGAATGAATTCCCACGAAGGAGCGCTATTTTTGCAAAAAGACGGAGATGGGCATATTGAATTTGAGAAAGATTATTATTACTTTATCCCGAAATTCTTGCATTTACAAAAGGACGATGATAGATGCGCTGAAATTGAGAGTAAAATCAAAAAATTCTATTTCGATGACCAAGAAGTGACTGAAAATCTGAAAGAACAGTACATTAATATGGTTTCGGATACGTTTTTCCAATTTCCTATTATGTTATGGCCTGACATCCTTGCGAAAGCTGAATCTGACGTTTACATGTATAAGTTTCAGTATTCTGGCAATTTGAATACTCGTGTTATGAAGGCTTTGGGGATTTCGGGAGCCAGCCATGGGGATATGATACAGTACCAGTTTTACAGGGAATCAAAACATGATAAAGCAAAAGAAACTGATTTGAAGATTATTAAGATGCTTGCTGGAGCTTGGTGCTCATTTGCTAAGAATGGGTAAGTGTAAAACATACATACATCAAAGTCAAAGTCAAAATTGAACGTCAACAGAAAAATAGCAGTTTAGCTACTTGCTCATTCCATGGTGTCGATTCCTATGGAGAAGAACGAGCAAGAAACTCCATAGGTTACTCTTTTTCAATCAGGTTCACAATACAATTCTCTAGTTACGCCACATTTAGCTCTCAGAGGGGCGCTATAAAATGTGCCATTCACTTTTAGCCACTTGTCTTGTATACCATTCAATAGCTCCCTATTAAATAGGGTAATTTTCAAAATTTTATTTTAATATCCATCTGATAGATCAATTTAAAACATTAGACACGTATTTTTTCTCACTAAATTAAACATTTTCGACGATATATTAATTTGAAATGCCGTGTGACGTCACAGCGTGCCACATTTCGTAGCACTATGTGACGTAACGACCTCCCACTCCTAAACTTAACTCCATTTTATTTAAGTATTGTAACTTTATACGATAAAATAAAAAAATGCGTATCTAATACTTTTTCATTGTGTAACTGAAGGACTAATTACATTTTTAATTTTTTTACCCTGACAACGACTCTTTAGAAACACAGACTTTCGCATTGCACTTCTAGCGGTTCGTAGTACTTGTCAGAATATTAATTACTAGCGACTCTGGCGCAGTTTCACCCGCTGTGCTCGGCTCCTATTGGTCATAGCGTGATATTTTATTGCCTATTGGCTAAGTGCAAAGCGAGTAGTGGCGGACAGATAACGACTGCAGCGCACAACACGGCAGAAATTGAAAACAAATGCGGATGATGAAAACCCGGTTTTTATTATTATATTCATCAGTAAAACTATTGAATAATATACACTTAAATAATGTCAACAATACTATTTTAATCTTTGGTTTTATTTATATTTGCAATGAAAATTATAATGTTAACATTGTTATTATTTGACAACTTCCGCAAATGTTGTAAACTTTACGCGTCGCCACCGTCGCGCACATAGCCAATAGCCTTCCTCTATAAATGCATCCAACACAATAATTATCCAAATTGGACCAATAGTTTCGGGGATTAGCGCCTTCCAACATACAAACTTTATATATAATTAGCTTCTGCCCGCGACTTCGTACGCGCAATCCCATTTTCCCCCCGTTCCCGTTCGTGATTTTCGGTAAAAAGTAAAAAAAGTATTGTTTAAAAAGTATCCTATGTCCGTCTCCTGGTTCTAAGCTACCTCCCTGCCAATTTTTATCTAAATCGATTGAGGCGTTCTTGAGTTATAAATAGTGTAACTAATACGACTTTCTTTTATATATATAGACTAGCTTCTGCCCGCGACTTCGTACGCGTAATCCCATTTTTTCCCCGTCCCCGTTCGTGATTTTCGGTAAAAAGTAAAAAAATGTTGGTTAAAAAGTATCCTATATCGGTCTCCTGACTCTAAGCTACCTCCCTACCAATATTCAGCCAAATCTATTCTGCCGTTCTTGAGTTTTAAGTGGTAATTTCAACCAAATCCGTCAAATAGTTGCGGAGATTAATGGTGCCTATGTATGTATGTATAAGCATAGAATAATGTTCGACGTGATTCTTTAATTTGACATAACTTTTTTATTTATGAACCGATTGACATGAAACAAACACTAAAGCATAACTGAAACATACCACAATATATTCGTGAAAACCGCATCCAACTAGGATCAGCCGTTTCTGAGATTAGCATGAACAGACAAACAGAAAAGACAAACAAAAAAAAAGTTAATTACATTTTTGGGTTCGACATCCTGACATCGACATAATAATATCCTGATCGACATAACAATAACCCCTGCTATTTTTTTTATTTTTATTTTCAATGTACAGACAGCACTTTTCTACAATTTTATTCTATGTATAGATGTATAGATAAAAAGTATAAGATTATTTTCATATTTTTTCAGGCAACCAACATGGGCGGAGCAGGAAACCGAATGGATCCCATACACAAGAAAAGGCAAACATGTGCTGGTTATAGACAAAAACATTGAATGTGTTAGGAACCCAGACTTAGATAGACTTAGATTCTGGAAGAGCGTTACTGGTGAAATGTCCAAATTATAATCCTTGATATAAAGGTTCTTGGGTTCGATTCTTGAGTTGAGCAAAGGGCTTTTTGATGTCGAAATATTTAGGTGTTGATTTTAATCCCTCGAGCGTCCGCGTTCCTTGTGCATTTCCTTATCTTTATGCATTTATTTGGCCATTGGCACACGAAAACAAGGATCATTACAATAGAAATAAAACAAATACAGTCAAAATAAAAACAAAACATTAATAATAGATTTTATAAAAGAGAAAGTAGCATGGAGCATTTTTTCTTATGATTCACCGGGTGCTCATAAGGACGCTCGAGAGGTTAAGACGTCCAAAAGCCTTAAATTATGTATTTCTTAAAACCCACGCTTGGTTATTTGCGTGGTGACCGAAAGTTATTCGGTTTCAGTTTAAAGATACATAAAAATAATACTACCAAAGTAGACATTGCCAAATCGAGAATCGAAGTTAATACTTTATTTATGTCGGTATCAATTGTCGCAATATTTTTTCAATAACCATATCTGTGATAAAGATAAATTAGTTCATAATATTCTGTTAATTTTTAAAAAAAATGCATAATTTAATGGTGCTTGTATACGTCATTTATGGGTAAAAAAAAACATATATATTTTTTATATAATAAAAACAAATATACTTGGGAGCAAAGAATTGGGGTTACCAGCGTTTTTTTTATTTAATTTCGTGGGCTCGAGCCTCTGTGCCCGGTCCACGGTATTAAGCTGAGCTCCGGCCTTTTGGGCTGCGACGCACCATAGGCTTTTTTGTGTGTTCCTAAATTCTTGTTGTATGTCGTGGCGAATTTTTTTTTCTTTCTTTCTTTCTTTCTATAAATATTCTGACACAAGTATTTTATTAATTGTTAACGTATGTCGTATAAAAGGCAATTTAGTTTCCTGCCTCGTTGGCCTGTGCAAGTGCGACTGCCGGGCAAGGGGTCTCGGGTTGTATTCTCAGGCCGGGCAAAGTACTACTGGGTTTTTACAAAAATCACAATAATAGCATGGAGTCTGGAATTGTGCCCGGTATATGGCAATAGGCTCACCCCCTATTACATAGGACTCATAACATAATTGTGAAAAGTGGGTGTTATATTGCACAGTGACATAATTAATGTGCACCTCTACCAACCCATGTCGGATTAAAAGGCGTGATATTATGTTACCATTAAAATCAGATTAAATTGCTGTAAAAGGAATATTTTTGTAAAGGTATAGAGGGTTCAATACACAGAAATGTTAAAAAATTATTATATCTTGGGTCTATAATATGAAAAAAAAACTGCTAGTGGCTCCTTTTCTTTGCAACTAAGTGTAGTTTTGTTTCTGGATAAATCATAATAATATTATTTTAAAACAAGTACCTATACACCGTGAAATCTATTCCGTTTTCGTCCCGAAGTAAAATGGTTCTGTCTCGGTAATACAATAGTTTTACAAACAAATAAAATGTTTAACCTTTTGAACGCCAGAGCAAAAACACATGAACCTGCCCTCAACGCCAAGCCACAAATTCCGCGCAAATTTCTACGGAAGAAATAGGGATTCCAATAGGGAATCAAATTATTGATTTCGTGTTTCCGGTTCCGCTTTTTCTGTCATGTATTTGTGTCGTTGGCGTCCAGGGACAGTTTTCACTTGTCACTTTTAAGTGACATCGGCGCTCAAAAGGTTAAAACAAAAAATAACTGGGTGCTTACTCTCGAAAACAATCTCAATGTCAATGTAATTTCAATCCAATAAAATTTTCAATAATTATTCAATGTCAAAACTATACAACCCCTATCGTAGCTGTTAAAGTAGTATTCAGAGTAATATAATGCCAAACTTATTTAGTTCATTCAATATCCACGCAATACGGATGCAATGGGCGCTAGTGTTGCAACTCAAGAGTACGAAAGTTCACAATACCAATGTCGATCGATTCGAATTGGATTCAAAAGTAAGCCCCCTGGTCAGCAAAAAGCAAACTTCGAAAGCGCATACGAACTCATAGTACATTATCAAAACATCACGCCATGTCATTCTCGAAGAGGTATTTCTCGTCGGGTGGCACGTGCGATGCGAATAGTGCCTACAAATTTATTACATCTAGTGTTTCATGTGCGTATTCCAAGAAAAAAAATTGAAACTAAAGAAAATGACATCGTTATTTTTTTTCTTTTTACTTTATACATCGACTGCCTCGTTGGCCGAGTGGGCGCAAGTGCGACTGCTGGTCAAGAGGTCTCGGGTTCGATTCCCGGGTCGGGCAAACTATTACTGGGTTTTTAAAAATCTCAGTCGTAACACGGAGTCTGGAAATGTGCCCGGTATATGACAATAGGCTCACCCCCTATTACATGGGACTCATAACATAAATAGTGAAAAGTGGGTGTTACATTGTATAGTGGTATAATGTGCACCTCTGCCTACCCCTTCGGGGATAAAAGGCGTGATGTTATGTTATGTTATGTTTATACATCGAAAATATGTCTTATGGCAAGTTGTTTTGCCGCGGGACGGAAACGAAATAAATCTCACTGTGTATATATTAATGTATGTTAAATGGTTTTAATGAGCTTATATTGTATGGTCATCAAGATTAAGAGTGTGTACCAAATATCAGAGGCCTTAATACGATTTTGTTTTACGGTTAAAGTAATCGAAACGTAACTTCGTCCGGCGCTCTGATTGGTTGGAACGTAACCTCGTCCGGCGCTCTGATTGGTTGGAACGTAACCTCGTCCGGCGCTCTGATTGGTTGGAACGTAACCTCGTCCGGCGCTCTGATTGGTTGGAACGTAACCTCGTCCGGCGCTCTGATTGGTTGGAACGTAACCTCGTCCGGCGCTCTGATTGGTTGGAACGTAACCTCGTCCAGCGCTCTGATTGGTTGGAACGTAACCTCGTCCGGCGC